AGTTCGGCTGGATGTCTTAACCCCCATTTAAATCGCAATCTCTCCTCGTGGGGGTGAGGGGGTGGCGGGGTGGTGTGTGAAAATGCATTTCAGAGTGTCAGTGTTTATGTTAATCTTCGCAAGCACTCCCTCCCGCCCCCCAAACAGAGCATGCACAAAACCTGCCTGGCCTTTCTTCCACTGTATTTTCCTGACACTGTTCTTAGCATGGGAAAGATGTCTCTGCATGTGATTATCTCCTCAGTCGCTTCACTTCATACTGTGGTCTACTTACGGGTGTCAGAAAAGGGTCCCTTTCCTTCAGAATTTTCATGGAGATTCTAAAAAATACAGATTGAAATGGGCTTTGAGAGAACAGTGTTCGTTTTTTTGAAAATGGGAGCATAAAACTATAACCTGTGGTTCTGCACCTCACGAGGTGTCCTGGACACTTGCACGGTATAGATCCACCGGAAGACAGGCTTGCAGCCGGAGTCTCCACCTTCCTTCTCTTTTATCTCTAAAATGGGGGACTTCTGCCAAAGCCCCCTCCCTTGGACAGATGCAAAGCTAGTTCTACATGACAGTACAGGGGCTGGAGAGAAAGTACAGCCCGTAAGGTGCTTGTTTTGCATGCAGCTGACCTAGGTTTGATTCCTTGCATCCCATATGGTTCTCTGAGAATCACCAGGAGTGATCCCTGAGTACTGCCAGGTGTGACTCAAAAACAAACCCCAAACAAACAAAAACCAAAGATACTCCAAAGAAAAAAAAGTGACAGTATAAGGGCTAGAGATATAGTACACTGGCTAAGGCTGGGATTTGATCCTGGATACCTCATATGGTCCCTCAAGTCCCACCAGGAGTGATCCCTGAGCACAGAGTTAGGAGTAACTCCTGACACTGATTCCCACCCCCACCCTACTCTCACCAAAAAAAAATGTAAAAAAACGACAGTTCAGACACTACTTCTTTCACAAACATTTAACTGCTCTTTGGAAAGTTTTGGCTTAGTCTCTTTGCTTGGACATCCATAGCTGGGACCGTCCGGATGCTGAAAAGTGAAGTTTCTTTACAGAGATTCAGTCTCTGACAGCAAGAGAACGGCTGTTAACAACCGAGGTGGTCAGTGGATCCTCCCTCTGGAGGACTCCACAGAAGTGTCCACCAGGGCGTGAGGGACACTCCTGTGCCCAGTAGCTACCAGGGTATCTCTGGGTGCCCAGGACAGCTGCCAGCTGCTGTGCTCACTCAGCCACCTCTTCCTCCACACGTCTGGTTTAGGCCTCAAAAGATGCTCCCATTGTCCCATGGGACACCTGCCACTTGGAGAGGGACTGGTGCCCACCTGTGCCCGGCATGATTCTACCTTTCTTTGCCAAGATATAGAAGCTGCCCCCACCCCCACAGGCCTAGGCTCGGATAGGTCCACCTGCTACCGGCACGGTGAACATGCACTATCTACCGGTCCAAACACCATCGCCGAAACAAAACTCCCAGCTCCTGTACCCTCACCCCTCCATTCTCCCGTCTCCACGGACAGGTTTTTCTTCATGGAGAGCTCTATGTGATTTCTTACCCCCTGGAAGGTTTTTGTTGGTTTTAGTGCTATAGAAACGTAACAAGGGGACAGAGAGATAGCACAACAGAGTGGGTCAGGCACTTGTCTGGCAGGCAACAGACCCAGGTTCGATCCCCACAACCCATGTGGTGCCCTGAGCACTATCAGAAGTGATCCCCAAGCACAAAGCCAGGGACCCTGAGCACTTCCTGTCCTCCCAAACCAGAACAAATGTAGCAAAACCAGAGAGGTACAGAACATACATTGGGATAGTTCTCCCAAAGAGAAAATCTTGTGTCAGAAACTTTAGGACATTTATTCTGTGTATGTATTATCTCATGAGTACAAATTTTACTACATAATTGTGTATCTGATTAGGTCTTTAGTCTTCCTTTATATCATCAGCAATATTCCATATGTTCCGTATCTACTGTACCTATTATTCCAATATTTCATGTCAAAATTATATTTTCAATTTTAAAAAGAATGTAAATTTTTAGATGCAAAAGAACCAAATGATCTAGAAGAATAATGTAGGAAATTTTACTTTATTAGTTTGTGAACTTGAAACATATATAAGCGATAAAAATTAGTTTAGTTAGAATTCATGCTTATAAGAAGAAATAAAAGTAGACTCCATGGTAAAGACTGTGATTTGGTTTCAAGCTTAAAAAAAAATTCTCAGTTTAAAACAAAACAAAGCAAACCAGTCCATAGCCTACATAAATTCTTCTCTGATGACTGTTTTTTAGAATTGGAAATGATGTGAATCCATCACTCCCAGTGCCCACCTGCAGAGCATACGGATTTGTTAAATGTTAGTGGGGGGAAAAAAAAATCAGTCAATTTTGTTTCTACCTGGCAGGGTATAAAGAACATAGATATACATGTGTAAAAATGACTTGCAGGAAATGTAGCAATTTTCACTTTCATAGACCAAATCTTTCCTCCTATACGTGGAGTACAATAAAATAACCCTCCCCTCCCCCAACTCAAAGGGAAAAAGGAGCCTCTATTGGAGAATTCGGACTGACTTATTCAGAGCAAGGGAACTGTTTCTCAGCCAGTTCACCACCAACAAGTAGCATTAGGACATGAAGATCCAAAAACAAAGGCAACTTCATATTTATTATCTTTTCAATCAAATTAATAGTATATGTTCTTTTTGTTTGTTTGTTTGTTTGGGGGCCACACCCACTGTGTTGAGGACTTAGCCCTGGTTCTGCTTTCAGGAATCACTCCTGGCAAGGCTTGGAGAAAAGCATGGGGTGCAGGGAATCAAACCTAGGTAGGCTACATGCAAGGCAAATGCCTTACCCACTGTACTATCTCTCCAGCCCTGATACTTTATTTATTGATTGCGGGGGGGGGAGGGGGGGACAGAGAGAAAAATACACATGTTTCTGAAAAGGAAAGAATTCTTGATTTTGTTTTTGGTCTAACTAAATCGTTTGTGTGAGGGGGGCGGGGAGGGGGGAATTAGAATCAGTAAAACATTGCATACCCTGGTATGAGTTTGATCCCCAGCACTGGCTAGGGGTGGGGGGAAGGGGGAAAAGAGGGAGGGAGAGAGGAAAAGAGGGAGGGAGGGAGGGAGGGAGGAAGGGAGGGAGGGAGGAAGGGAGGAAGGAGGGAGAAAAAAAGAGAGGGAGGGAAGGAAGGAAAGATGGAAGGAAGAGAGGGAGGGAGGGAGGGAGACATGGAGGGAGGGAGGGAGGGAGGGAAGAAGGAAGAGAAATTCACAGAAAAAAGGTCTGGATAGTATCACTTATAAATAAAATTCAAATCCATGCAATTTAACCAAGTTTAGCATAGATTGCAGAAACCAAGATTAAAGTCACCAAGTCCATGTCTGCTTCGATTTAATTTCAAACTATTCAATAGCAGCTGGCCAACTCACAACCCAAACAACAGTCTCTATCCCCTGTCTCAGACAGAGGCTGGAGGGAGCAGGGGTGGACAGGGGACAGAATAGCTGGGTCCCTGGGTAATGTCCAAACTGGTGGACAATACTTACAAAATAATAAAAATCTAAAGGCTTTTTAAAAAACAAAAGTCTTCCCTATTATTTAGCCAGAAAGTATAGATATTCAAAGAAATACGATCATTAAGCTCTCTGACCAGCAACCACCCTCAAAAACCAGCGAAAATGTTCTGCATTCAGAATCAACCTTTTTTCTCTCTTTCTATCCCTGCCCCTCCTCCTCCAAATAGTTAAACATTATTTCCATGTCTTGATTTAAAAAAAAGAAAAAAAAATGGATTTATTGCACCTCAAAATACGTATTACCAATATAGTGGCCTACCGCATTTTTTACTATTTTCTAAATTAAAATTCTGATTTTTTTTTAATGGACATGGCTTTTGTGTCTTTTAGGATTTTTTTTTTTAAAAGAGGTATATTACTGCCAATTCAAGGTGTACAAAAAACTTAGGTGATGAGGGTCTCTGTCATTTTCTCTTAATCCAGTTCCAAACTCGACCTTTCCCTAGAGAACAGGTGTGTGCTGGTCCTGTGATTTATCAGAGTGAGCAACCAGGCAGAAAAGCTACCAACAATAGGACTCTAATAGAACCAAGGACTTAGTGCCTGGAAAGCAGTTCTTATCCCCACCATGAATACACTTTTATCTCCCAGTAGCAATTTAAAGATAAAGACGGATGGGGTGAGTAATAGGCTCATATTCCTTCAGGTTTCTTGGATACTGTTTGGTAGTAGCAGCCTGCCAGGAGCTTATTAGGTTAGAAATTCCTCTCTCAGATATTCTATTGCTCACATTCCAACCCAACCTATGACATGGATCTGAAAACAGTTGTGACAGCATTTCCACGAGGGCAGATGAAGCCACCTCGCGCAGAGAAATTAAATAAACCTTCACAAAGGAAGTGATAAATGAATCGTGCCTGTCTTTGTATACAATACGGAAACTCCTACTATATCCTGCATTTGTCATTTTGGATCAAACTTATCTAATTTTAAAACATGCCAAGTATCCATTTACTAGGCATGAAGAGATGTAGTAATTGGGCAAAGCAAGGGCGCCATGAAAAGCAACAGCTAATATTAGAACAGAGCCCTCAGTCCAACAGACAATTAGCCAGTTGGCTAAATCCAACCCACGGTGGGTCTTTAGAATCGGGTGAAGTTTTTTTCCCAATATGCTCTATAGGAAAAACACTTGTAGCTGATAAGTAAAATGAAATTTCTAATATGCCCTTCAGAAAGATAGACAGAATACAGTGGGGCAACTACAAATATTTCTATGGTTTCACCATAAAAATCAAATGTGATTTTTAAAAGTCTAATACTTTAATGATTTTTTTAAAAGAAAATTAAGGCATTGAGACAGAAAAAAACAACTTTGGCAGTCCTGAAAAAAAACATGACTGCAAAGAGAATTTGTCATAACCATCTTTTTAACAATAAAAGCTTTTACTAAGTTTTCCTTATCAAACTTACCCATCTGCTCCACAATCTCTGGAGGAAACACTCGAGAAGCAAATGCACGTCGAAAAATATCTGAAAATTCCTTATCCAGACCTCCTATGCCCATTTTCTCAAAGTTCCAGTCGGGATTAATGATAGACTGGCGGTTTTCCTTGGTTTTAGCTTTGCCTGGAATAAACAGAGATAATCAAGCTGTGAGGCTAAAAGTCCGTCACTGAGTGGAAAAAACAGAGACCCCTGGGCATTCTCAACGGACAGGGAGGACGTCAAAAACAAGCAACACTCTTAGAGCTGATGTCCTAAGAATGAGTCCTGCTCCGTGAACAACTTCTCTCGCCCACGTTTAGGGTCACTTTCAAAATGATTGGGCTAAACTCATGCCATTGGACATGTGTGACCCCCACACCCCCATCCCCAGGGAAAGGAGCCTGACCAACCTTTGATCCTAGCCAAGTTTACTCATTTGGTTGATTAGAAGAAACCCCCGGTTCACATCTGAAGAAGACAATGCCAGCAGCCAGAGGGACCACGGAGACGCAGCAGTCCCCAAGGCTGCTAGAACAAATGTGCTTAAAACACTCTTGATGAGGCTCACGACTGGACTCTAAGCCCTCGGCCTCAGAAGACACACTAAATAGTTTGGTATCTTATTTACTTTTCCTTTGTGGTGCACATCAGTCTAAAATCATCCCAGGGATTTTAATGATTTAGAATTTCCTATTTTTGCACTCTGAAAGTTGCGCATCTTCTAACTTAGATGGCATAGTGCCACCTAAAGTAACTCAAGGGTAGCACATTAACCGTCTCCAACGCGAGGAAAGAATTGCCCTGGTGCATCTACTGTAAGTAAAAAAGAAGGCAATTCGAAAAACAATTTTTATAATTAGAAAATAAACCAATACCCACGATGGGAAAAGTTTATTCTCTGATAATTTATGGTCAGAGTTTTATGGAATTAACATCCTTTATGAAGCACTTGAAATGTTTTTCTTATGCTCTACTGCCCTCTTGTGCCCAAATGACCTCATGCTAAATCACAATTTTCCAACTGAAAACCACCTACCAATCATTGCTTTGTGAGAATTACTTCGAAATATAGAAATACTCATATTAGAGAAAAGTAAAGTTTGATCCATGGCACCTCATTCCCCCTACATATACACCCCCAGGTGCAGTCCTTATTTTAAAAATTTTTTTTTAATTGGGCGAAGGGCTGGAGAAATAGTACAGCAGGTAGGGAAGGTACTGGCCTTCCACGCAGCTGATCCCAGGTGGTCCCCTGAGCACTGCCAGGAATGACTCCTGGGTGCAGAGCCAGGAGTGACCCTTGAGCACCGCTGCCTGGTGTGACCCAAAAACAAACAAAAATTGGGGCCAGGGACCAGAGAGACAGGACAGCGGGTAAGGTGCTTGCCTTGCACCAACGGTCCTGAGTTTGATCCCTGGCATCCCATATGGTTCTCCCAGCCCACCAAGTGTGATCCCTAAGTGAAGAGCAAGGAGTAAGCCCTGAGCACCGCGGGGTGTGGCCCCGAAACAACAACAAACTGGGGTCACACCGCACAAAGGACTGAAGTACATGCTTTATACATGGGGGGCCCAGGGTGATCCCTGGCACCACATGGTCCCCAAGGACCACTAGGGCAAAGATTTCCAAGCACCACCAGGTAATAAAAAAATTAACAAAAGATACAAATATAGGGCTGGAGTGATAGCACAGCGGTAGGGCGTTCGCCTTATAAGCGGCCAACATGGCCGACCCGAGTTCGATTCCTCCGCCCCTCTCGGAGAGCCCGGCAAGCTACCGAGAGTATTCGATATGCCAGACACAGTAACAACAAAGTCTCCAATGGAGACGTTACTGGGCCCGCTCAAGCAAATCGATGATCAACGGGAGGGCCTTTATACAAAAATATAAAATACAAAGGTACCACTTCAAGAAAGTATGGGACCAGTAACAGATTCTGATCTGTCCTACAGCCATAGAACCAGTCACTAAAAATTATGTTGTGAGAGGTATACTTCTTATGAAGCTGAAAGCACAAATTATAAGAGCTTGAAAACGGAATTTTAAAATTCTTAAATTTTACAGCTCCCCTCCATATTCCACAAAATATCTTTTTATTACTTAAGCAAGAAAAAGAGAAAATGATAATCATGAATCGAGGGGAGGAAAAAAAGAGTCTTCCATTCAAATAAAATTAAATTGTCTCGAATACAACGGTCTGTAACCAAAGAAATTTCTACTTTCTACTGGGGAAGGCATCCACATAGTCAAACCCAGCAAAAACACAAGAGCACATGGTTACTCTGGTGCACTGCTATTCCTACAGGCCAATCTTCATTCATTCCTGATGAGCAGGGCTGAGATAGGGCTCATCCAGGGCTCATAATAGGGCTCATCCGAGTGCAGGGCTCATCTAGGAATCCACCAGACAGGCTTTATCTGCACATTCCCCTTTTCCCTCAGTCACTAACAGACGTGATGCCAGGACGGCACGGAACACAGAGCCAGAGGGGATCTAGAGAACCCACGTTCTCAGAGGCCTTGGAGACAGCCAGAAACCAAAGCCCACTGCGGCCTTTGCATAACTCAAGGGAAAAATGGGATCTTGAGTTCAATCCTGGAACAGAAAAACAGGATGCAATTGAGGAAACCTGTCGAGCTCTGGCTTGTCTGCAGTTATAAGGCATGTAAGCCAGGCTGATTGGTTTTGGTAACTGCACTAAGGCTATTTTAGAGTGACACAGAAGCAGCTGGTAGAGCACACAGGCAGAAATTGAACTGTGCTTGTAAATCTTCTGTAAGCCTCAATTTACCTCAATGCTAAAGCTTTAAAAGAAATTGCTTTTTGAATTTCTCTGGTTAACGTGTTACGCGGAAACGAGAAACCATATAGGGCATTCTATCTGGATATTGGGAAATGCTGATCCAATTTTAAGTTGTTTTTCTCTGGCAGCACTAAGTGAGGGGTATGCAATGCCCCAAGTCTGGGGAATGCTCTTGGCTACCTTCCCCTCTAGAAAACCCCCATGGCTGGGCCACGGCTAATAACACAGGCAGCTCCACGTCATTCAGAAGGTTCTAAACATTGTAAATCTTACCAATAAGATTGAGTGATGAATTTTCTGCTTTTTCAAATGCAACCTGACTGTTTCCAACGACCAGTCCTACTTCAATCTATATAGAAAGACAATAATTAGTAGTTATTCTAATGCCAGACTCCTGAACTTCACAAAACAAGGCCAAATCCCAAGGGGAAATAAGGTCTCACTGTCCATTAAAAAAAATTATCTAAGTTACCACTTAAGTTACTCTTCCCAACTACCTTCTACTACTATCTTCATTTCGATGCCTACCACTTGTCAATATCTTTATTTTTATTATTTTATTTACAATAAATATCTACATTCAATCAGGATTATGACATATCCAAGTTTCCCTCTACTACTAGGCCTTCAAATAAATAATTTTGGCTATATTTTAATAATAATGCCAGCTATAAAATCGGTATTTGTCTTCCTACTATCTTAATTTTTTTGTTTGGTTTTTGTTTGGCCCTGCCATTTTCTACCTACTATCTTAAAGCAAAGACTAGACAACATGAGAGAAACAGGTAGAGAACGAGGAAAATTATATTAATTGCACGGCTACAATCAGACAATGTAGATTACCCGGCGAGACCCACCTTCTGTTTCTTCCCCGTGGCAGCCTCTCCCTTCAGGATGCTCGGGTCCATCGCCTCGATGTCCTTTACCACCAAGCCAAAGAGCTTCTCGTTGAAGCTGAATACAAGCTACACAGGAGAGAGGTGAAGGGAGAAAACCTACTCCGTGATTTGACAGCTTCACTCGCACGTTATCACCAACACTCTCCAAATGCAGAAATGCAGCTTTCAGGCCGGGACGATGGTCCAGTGGGGAGAGCATTTGCCTGCACACAGCTGACCAGGGTTCGATCCTCAGCACCCCATAGGATCCCCAGAGCCCCGCTAGGAGTGATTCCTGAGTGCAGAGTCAGAGTAAGGCCCAAGCACCACTGGATGTGATCAAAAAAAGCAAAAGAAAAGCAGCCTTCCATTTATTTTCCTCGCAAATCTGTTTCATGGGTGAAACTTCCTGTATAACCAACGAGAGGAAAATGAAAGTCCCATTTACTGAGTACTTATGGCACACCAGACAAACAACTATAAGGCGGTTATGTAACTACCCTCTTGGAACCAGAAAATGCTCCCCCATTTTACTAGTGAGGATGCTAAGATCTGGGGAGAGATTAAGCAATGGGACCCTGGGTGGCAGGGGATGGGTTTAAGCCTGGGTCTACTGCTTCCAAAACTCACCTTTCCTGTAACCAATGCAAACAGCGATAGCTTCTGAATGCTTGGTCATCTTTTCCTCCAATCCGTATTCAATGCCTTCGACAAGGCAGCCCACCTCTATGTGAGGTTATGATGGTAAACAGAGTGGGCAAAGCCAACTGCCAACAAGGTTAAAGTATGAAGGGGCATAAATGCTTTAAACAGTGAAGCGGGTTAAAGATACTTATTTCTTCCCTGTATTACGGAGGATTTCCTCTCATGGTTTATTCATGTCAGTGGGTTTTTAATCTTTACACATACCAAAACTTTTTCTACTAAAACATTCTCGTCGGGGCTGGAGCGATAGATAGCACAGCGAGTAAGGCGTTTGCCTTGCACGCAGCCAACATGGCAACACAGGTTCGATTCCCAGCATCCCATATGGTCCCCCGAGCACCGCCAGGAGCAATTCCTGAGTGCATGAGCCAGGAGTAACCCCTGAGCATCGCCAGGTGTGACTCAAAAAGCAAAAAAAAAAACCATTCTCGTAGGGGTTGGAGTGATAGTATGGCAGGGAGGGTCATACTATCGCTCATGCCTTGCCCATGGCTGACCTGCGTTTGATCCCCGGCATCCCCTGTGGTCCCTGAGCACCACCAGGAGTAATTCCTGAATGCAGAGCCTAGAGTAATCCATCAGTATCACACTTCTTGGTGTGACCCAAAAAGACAAAAAAAAAAAAAAAGCAAAACAAAACAAAAATTTAATAAACCTGCATCTGACTTAGCAGTTTATTCTTATTAGCCAAGGTGGATGTGTATGTATACAGCTGCAAACCCAGCTCCTCTAAAGATTTTAAAAGAACAAAAATTCTCTTTGGCATTTTTTGTTAAAGTACTACAGCTCCGAGAGACAGGGAAGATGACAGTGTGAAGAAGGGATCTGAGCACCTCTCTCAGTCTAATGGCGCAGGAACCCAGGAGGAAGCTCTCCTAGACCAAAGAGCAATAAGTAGGGAGCCAACAGTCAGGAGCTGAGCATCATGGTGGGAGCCTGTGGGACCATTTCAGGCAAAGCTGCGTGAGAGTGGAGTCTGCTCAGCCCCCTCCGACAGACACACACAGGCACACCACAGGAACACAGCTGACCGCATGCCCTGCCCACCCAGGGGGCGAGCTGGCTGAGGGTCTGCCCACTCCTGACGCTTATGCCCAGAGCCATGGCTGAAACACACTCAGCAGCAATACAACACCTGCTTGGAGGCTGGAGCGATAGCACAGTGGGTATCGCTCATGGCCGACCTGGGTTTGACTCCCACCATCCCATATGGTCCCCAGAGCACTACAAGGAGTAATTCCTGAGTGCAGAGCCAGAAGTTACCCCTGTGAATCACTGGTTGTGACCCCCCTCCCCCCCAAAAAAAAATAACAAAAAGGCAAAAAAAACACCTGCTTGAAGAATCCACTGGCTGACCCATGCATTCCTGTCTCACAGAAGCCCCTTGTGTCATCGGCTACTTTCCTGGATCTAAAATTTCTTATGTGCAATGTGAGGTCAAAATTAGGTTTTGACTTAAAACCAACAAAATAATCTGAATCACTCCAATTTTCTTTTGGGGTTCACTTTTTTTTTTGGTGGGGTGGTGGGGGGTTAGGAAGCTACACCTAGCACTGCTCAGAGGCTACTCCCGGTTCCATGTTTAGAGCTCACTCATGGCAGGGTACAGAGGACCATGCAGTCTGAGCTCTCTCCCCAACCTTAGTACAAGAAGGAAGGGAAGGTGGAAAGGAGGGAGGCAGGAAAGGAGCTCGGTTCTTGTTGTATTCTTCCCTATCAGCAGTTCCACTTGCTATTGCAGAGTCTGATGTTAAAATGTAGATTGGCAAAATCCCATCTTCTCCAAGAATGCTACTTTTCCGTTAAACCCTCTTTTCTTCCACTAGTCTTCTCTCCCACACCACCTAGCAGATGTCCCCTTGGGAAAGGCTGCAAAGGTGGGGCAGGTGAGTCACTGAAAATCAGGAGGCGGGGCTGGAGCAACAGCACAGCAGGTTAGGCATTTGCCTTGCACGTGACCGACCCAGATTTGATTCCCAGCATCCCATATGGTCCCCTGAGCACCGCCAGGGGTAATTCCTGAGCGCAGTGCCAGTAGTAACCCCTGCGCATCGCCAGGTGTGACCCAAAGAAGCAAAAAATAAATAAATAAATAAATAAAAACATCCCTGTGTGGGGCCGGAGTGATAGGACGGTGGGGAAGGTGTTTGCCTTGCACGCGGCTGCCCCAGGCTCGGTCCCCAGCATCCCATATGGTCCCCTAAGCACCGCCAGGAATAATCCCTGAGTGCAGAGTCAGGAGTAACCCTGAGCATCGCTGGGTGTGAACCAAAAAGAAAAAAAAATGACAAATAACCTCTATGTATCAGTATCAATCAAACATTTCTCACTTAGCAGAAAAGTGTGTCTTCTCTAAGGAAGCCTCAAGAAGGTGTTGCGCTGCCGCAGGCTCAAGTCTCCAGTGGCGGGCTCAATGGGTCCAAGCTGGGCCCACATGGGAGAGTCCGCAAAGCACAGTCGTGAGCTTTGGCAGAGACAGGAAAGACAAAGGACACCTCAGTATTCATGGGAAAGTCCTCTGACTCCACAAACCCTCTGAAAGGGCTCCAAGGGGCGCACAGGCCCAGGGACACCCTTGGTGAACCTCTGCTAGGGAGCAACGGAAGGAGGAAAGAGGCAGGGGGACTGAGGAGAACGACAGGAGAGACAGGGAACAGTGGGTCTGGGGAGCATTGTGATGAGAGCAATGTATGAATTCACATTTTTAAATCAAAGTATTGGGGTCGGAGAGATAGTACAGCAGATAGGGTATTTGCCTGCACGCAACCAACCGGGGTTCGATCTCCGGCATCCCATATGGTTCCCTAAGCACTCCCAGTAGCAATTTCTGAATGCAGAGCCGGGTGGGACCCAAAAAAAAAAAAGAAAAAAAAAGAAAGATAAAAGGGAAGTATTAGAGCCAGAAAGATATAGTACAGTGGGTAAGGGACTGCACGCGGCCGACCTGGATTTGATCCCCAGCTTCCCATATGGAACTCCGAGCCCCACCAGGAGTGATTCCTGAGCGTAGAGCCAGGAATAAGCCCTGAGTACCGCTGGGTATAGCCAAAATATGCCTCCACACCCCCTTCAAAAAGTAAAGTTTTATTATGCATGAAATCCTACCATTAAACGTTTTGTCAACTACTGTGCTTAAATTTTTTTCATTTTAAAGGAAATTTTAAAAGGAGAGAATCTCTCGAGGATGGACAGGTCACAGGTGTTTTTATCTGGCACCATAAAAACAACAAACGGACAGAATTTCTTCATAGACTTTAGTAATATGTATTTGCTGAAATCAAAAGAAAATCCAAAGGGTCACATGAGCAGCATTTTAAAGGAGAGAAAATCTGGGCGCTGGGCCTTCCATAAAAAAACCTTAAAAGTTATACACAATTCCTTTAAATTTCAGAGGCTCATAACTAAAGGGATTTTTGTTGAGGTGGTAGTGGTGGGATTTTTGGTTTGGGGCCACATCTGGCTGTGCTCAGAGCTAACTCCTGGTTCTGCACACAGGGATCACTCAGGCTCAGGGTCCATATGTGGTGCCATGGATCAAACCTGGGTCAGCCACAAACAAGGCAAACATGCTTGCTACCCACTGCACTATCTCTCCAGCCCCTTATAAATAAAGCTAAGAAATACTTTTTTATAGCCATAAATTAGTAAAAGAGAAAGATATCCAGAGACAAAACATCATCGCACAACAAGAAATCTGGAATACATACGTACCGTGTTCCCCAACTGACAAAAGGAAAAGCTATCTTATTACACACGGTAGAGGAGCCAACACATATGTCAGAATCTTTCTGTGCAGATTCCGGGAGGCTGAGCAAGCACATCGCCCCTGCTTTCCGTCGCCCATCATGGACGTAAGTGTTGCTCTATCTATAGCGCGTTCACGAGTGTTTAGGAAGCAGAATTAATGACGGACAATGGTGGGACAGGATGAAAGAGAACGCCAAGGTTACCTGCTGTCCCACAGAGAAGGCCTGGTTGTTGAACTGCTGAATAAACTCTGCTGCCATCTTATCTGTGTCGTAAGGGTTGGAGTCGATGTTTTTTTTCTGCAGGAAGTCAATTTCGATGGTCATTGTGCCAATGCACTGTTTAGCCTTGTCGAATGTATATAAGGACACTAGAAGGGGAAAGGCAAAATTAAAAAACAAAACAAAATGCAACAAAAACCAACAACTCAGAGATACCAAATACCTATTATATTTCAAAGAAAAAAATCTGGAGGGAGGGCACAGCCAGAGATGCTAAGGGCTTATTACTGTTCTGCACTCAGGGATCAGCCCTGGAGGGGCTCAGGGGACCTTAGGGGGTCCTGGGGATCAAACTCAGGTCAGCTGTGCACAAGGCAAGTACCAGACTATTGCTCCAGCCCCATTTCAAAGAAGTTTCAAGTAAATAAATCCAAACAGAACTTGACCAAAGGGCTTCTCAAGAAGGTGACCTGGGCACAGACTCTTTTAGAAATAACCACTGGAGAGTCTCCTGCCCATATGAATACTCAGATGGACTTAACAGCACATGCCCTCCTTCATTCCTCACCTGACTACAGGCATCTCACAGCCCTCCCTCGGGGTCTTCCTTCTCATTGAAGAGAACACAAAATGACAACAGGGTGAGGTGGAGGAGATTCCCAAACAATTGGTATAACATGCAATTTCCAGACAAGAATCTTGCTTGACGCAAGAAGGAGAGAAGTTGAAAGGTGAGAGGACTCTTTTGAGTTAACAAAGTTGGATACCAGAAATATAAACAAAGAGGTAAATCTAACACTGGGCTGTGATTTGTCATTTTATGAAACAAAAGACTGGACCAGATTAACCTTCGTGGTGACTTCCATACTCTAAAGTGTGCACTAAACTTATTTTCTTAATATTTAGCCACTTGACTGATATATACATATATATAAATATAAAATTGTAAATTCCTTGAAATTGCTTGTCTAACCTTATTTTCAATATTTGGGTTTGCTGTCATGAAGGAGAGGCACACATATTTTTATACAAGTATTGCAGCAGCAATAATCCAATGGGCAGGAATCTTGCCTTGCACACAACCAACCCAGGTCTAATCCCTGCCATCCTACATGGTCCCCTGAGCACCCTTGGAGTAATTCCTCAGTGCAGAGCCAGCAGTAACCCCTGAGTATCACCAGGTGTGGCCCCCAAACAAAAATTAAACAAAATATTTTTCTTTATTTTGTTTTTTGGGTCACACCCAGTGATGCACAGGGGTTATTCCTGGTTCTGTACTCAGGAATTACTCCTGGCGGTATTGGGGGACCATATGGGATGCTGGGAATTGAACTCGGGTTGGCCGTGTGCAAGGCAAATGCCCTACCTGCTGTGTTATCGCTCCAGCCCCCAAAATATTTTTCAAAAGCAAAACAACAGAGAAAATCAAAAATAAGAAATGGAAAAGGCAATGAAGATCAAAGAATAAATTCAGATCTCAATTTTCAGTGGGAAGTTTCAGAATGCTCTTCTGCTTACTGTAGGCATTTGTTCTTTTTGGGGGGGGGGGGGGCGCGGAGAGGGCACCCACACCCAGCTGTGCTCAGGGTTTAGTCCTGGCTCTGCAATCAGGGACCACTCCAGGCAGGCTTGGGGAACCATATGAGGAGCCAGAGAATGTACCGGGGTTGGACGTGTGCAAGATAAACACTATCTTTTAACACCCCCCCACACACACACACACAAAGTTTTGTTCTTTTTCTTTTCAATGGCAAGCACCAATGCAGTTCCCACTGCTATGACCACATGGCTGAGTACTTTCCCACACTGGGAAAATGACAGGGATCAGCATGTTCCGGGTGCAAGGATCAGTTGCAACCTAGGAAAAGCACCTTTGGGATCACGGTATCACCCCCGCCAGGTTAGCAATGACTTGTGCTTTCTTAAAATTGCTAGAAAGTAAGGCTAATAATGTGCAGGCTGTAACAAGAGAGCAAACCTGTTTCTAGACAGAGTTAAAGTATTTCTAAGTTGAAATATTAAAATAAAATTGAAAAAGTGAATTCAGCAATTCTACTTCCAGTTTTTGCCCCAGAAAGACAGAACGTCTTCCTAAAAAGAGCACCACAGCAAGGTTCGTCTTTGCGTTATCTGTCAAGAGCAAAACGCTGGAAAAACACAGTCTGCAGGGGAGTGAGGAGAAGAGGTGACATGTTCACAATATGGAACACTAGGGCAATTGAAACAAAATTCTGGCCCATGAGTTGGGGATGTGGTTCAGTGGCAAAGCATATGCCTTGCTTCCATAAGACCTGGTTTGATTCCCCAACAGCACAAAATCAAAAAAGTCTTAGAAACTTGATCTATGTTTAATCAAGATGACATTAAAACCTAATGTTGGGGCTGGAGCGAAAGCATAGTAGGTAGGGTATTCGCCTTGCACGCGGCCAATCTGGGTTCAATTCCCAGCAACCCTTATGGTTCCCGAAGCACCGCCAGGGTTAATTCCTGAGTGTAGTGGGCCTGCTCGAGCAAATCAATGAACAACGGGAGGACAGTGATACAGTGATACAGCAGAGTCAGGAGTAACCCCTTGTGCATTGCCAGGTGTGACCCAAAAAAAGAAAGGAAAAAAAAACCATAATGTTGAGGAACAGGGCGTTGGTTAAATGGCTGAGATGCATGCACTGTAAGCAGTAGCCCCTGAACACCATTGGGTGTGGTGAAAAACGAAAAAAAAAAAAGAAAATGCCACTTCATCTAACAAAGACTCCCAAACAATGCCATAACATTAAAATGCATGTATGTGAGTATAAACAGACATATATGCGAGCCTAGGAGTAACTGTATATGTGTGCAATTCTTTTTTGTGGGGGAGGGGGAATTTGTGGACCACAGCCAGTAATGCTCTGGGTATATTCCTGGCTCTGTGCTCAGGGGTCACTCCTGGTGGGTTCTGGGGGGGCATACATATGCTGGAGATCTAACCTGGGTCTGCCATGTGCAAGGCAAGCACCTTCCTTGCTGTCCTACTGCTCTGACCCCAGTGTGAAGCATTTGTATTCCAAAAAATTTGAGTGATTATGTGAAAACATCAGTATTACTGACTTTTGTTTTTCAAGTATATTTGAGTTTAAGATCAAAGTTCCTAAGTAGAACGGACCAAGATGTTAATTTCAGGAGCTCATCTAGCACCATGGACAGCATCACAGTCAGCACCACGGCTAGCGCCATAGTCTTTCCCAGGACACACACCCCGGTGTTTCTGCACAAATTCCCTCAAGGAGCAAAAGTGCAGCAAGCCCGTCTCTTAATGAAAGCATTCAAGCAGACTCTTTTTTTTTTTTTTTTTTTGGTGTGTGCAGAGGGAGAGCTTAGGTCACATCCGGCAATGCACGGGGATTATTCCTGGCCCTGTGCTCAGAAGAAGTCAGGGGTGAGCCACATATAAGGCAAGCACCTTAAATTAACACCCAAACTGTCTCTCCAGTCCAGACAGGTCCTTTAATGCTTTGTTTTGGTATTGGACCACACTCGATGGTGCTTATGGCTTATTCCTGGCTCTGCATTCAAGAATTACTCCCTTCAGTGCTGGGGATCAAACCTGGATCAGCTGCATGCATGGCAAGCATCCTACCCACTGTGCTATCATCTCTCTGGTTCCAAACACACAGGTCCTCTTATTTTTTATTTTTATTTATTTTTTATTTTTTGCTTTTTGAGTCATACCCAGCAATGTACAGGGGTTACTCCTGGCTCTGCACTCAGGAATTACTCCTGGCCGTGCTCGGGGGACCATATGGGATGCTGGGAATCGAACCCGCGTCAGCCACGTGCAAGGCAAACGCCCTACCCACTGTGATATCGTTCCAGCCCTAACACACAGGTCCATTTAATCAGGCAAACATGCTTCCTGAGCACCTCCTATGACTGGCTTACACCCCTCTCAATGTCTCTTATTTACATTATTTCTCATCTAAAACACCTCTCTTTCTTGTCTCTGCCATGTTATTTCTTTCTCTTACCCACTAATCATGTTTTTAAAAACTCTATTGCCCAGGCCATTTGACCTGCATGAATCTAACCCAAGTTCAATCCTTTGCACCCCACAGTCTCCTGAATTAGCCAGGAGTGATTACTGAGCACAGAGAGGATTAAGCCCTGTGCACTGTCATGTGTTACCTAGAAATCAAAAGTCAAAATAAAATTAATCAAAATTAAAAACTCTACTGCCCAGAGAAGATTTCTCAAGTGAATTTCCAGTCTCTAACCAAAGCATCCACTCCCGTTCTATCTTAGCACTTTTGCACAAATCTCCTACCAGTAACATCATATAATGACCTTTCAATACTCTGTAACTTATGAATATGTGCACATTCTTCCCTCATTCACTTTTAATTTCAGGAAGAATAGTGAAGAGATAAAAAGAGAGGGAGTTAAGTATTATGACTATTTATGTCCATTCTCAGAGATCTAACATAAATCATATGTTCATACTCATATGAACAGTAAGAATGTCCAATAGTCTTACAATTAGGAACACACAATCGTATAGTTTTCCATATTATGAAAAAATGAGGATGAAAATTTACCTCAAATAGATATAATAAATATACACCTACCGTCTATTTCTTGTCCAATGGAAAGTCCAGCCCATTTTCGCTGTAAAATAAAAGAGGGAGAAAAAAGTATGTAAAAATAAATCAATCAAAATTGGAAAAAGAGGAATTCCTGGGAACTGCAGAAATGAAGTCAAAGTCCAGTGCACAGCAAGAGCTAATTTCCAGACTATGTTCCACCAAAAGCCATTTCAACGTCTTCAGCCCCAGCATCCGTGACTAGGACGGTGTGTGGAAATAGGGCCTTTCCAGCAGCAAGGGACGGTGGGTCACACTGAGGTGGGATGACCTTTGGCCATTATGACTGGCATCGTTTTGTTTTTTCCCTTGGGTTTTTGGGCCACACCCAGTGTTGCTCAGGACTTATCCTGGCTCTGCACTAAGGGATCTCTCCTGATGAACTCTGTGGACCACATGGGCTGCTGCAGATAGAACCCAGGTTGACCACAAGCGCCCTTGTAACAGAAAGGTGGGTGACTGGGACGGAGACTGAGGTGCGGCACATAACAGCCACAGAATGGCAGGCATGCTGGCAACGCCAGTAGCTAAGCAAGTAACAGATTCTTTCCTGACACTCTCAGAGAGAACAGAGCACCTGCGAACACCTGGCTTCCAGATCTGTAGCCCAGAAACTAGGAAAGGACACATTTCTATCCCTCTAAGTTGCCCAGCCTGTGACGCTGCGTCACAGCTGCCTGGGGAAATGAACACAAATGAACACACATGCTATAGTTTGTATCCCAAACTTACCAGGCATGTCTTTCTAAGGTAAAGCTCGCCCTGCTGGGTGTGTTGCTTCTTTATGCAATATAATGTTCCTGAAGGGCTCTGCTGTTTTAGGGACTAACCCAGCATTCTAGCCCTACTATGGTTAATTACACTCTTTGTTTAAAAAGAAAATATTCAGCTCATCAAAACTTGACAGATAACCTATCCCCAGCAACCAAGCAGGGATTCAAATCAACTTGCGGGTGGTCACGCCTACTCTGCACAGCAGCCCATGATTTGGGGGCCTTTGCAACCAGATCTGAGCTTCTCCCCCGGCCCCGGCTGGTAACGACGGCAAGAATGCAGAGGCAGGCCAGATTGTGTCTTGGCAGGGACCGGGGACTGGCTTGCCATAAGGTCCCAAATTAGTAACTATTGACAGTTCTCCAAAGAACAGCGAGGAAAACAATTTTGGGCTGGGAATCAAGATTGGCTACTCCTCTGCACATCATGAATTTCCTGGTGGGTAGAGAAGAAGACACCGTGTTCCAAACTGCGCAACATCCCGGGCTGTCTTCGAGCCTCTCCCCAGCTCCCCCTTCCCCCTTCTCTGCCCTGTGCCTCCTCCCTCCTCTTCGGTGCATCCCATCCCATTCTTGTCACCCTTCAAGCCAGCGGTCTCCTTAGTTTATACTGAAACTGCGGATCATAAAGCAGCCAGACGCTGTTCCGTACTTCAATCCTAAAGACAGCCTACAGGCTGGGTAACAGTAGTATCTCTCCTATGGGTTTGTTTCGAGAATCAAAGAGGCTAATGTACGCAAAGACTATACAGAATTGCACTTGGCTATAGTAGATGTTGGGGACTTGTATCGTTGTTGCTGTTGTTAAAAAGTGGAGGAGAGGCCGCGCGATATAGCACAGCAGGTAGGGTGTTTGCCTTGCACTCGGCTGACCCGGACTCAATCCCTAGCATCCCATATGGTTCCCCAAGCAGCGCCAGGAGTAATTTCTGAGTGCAGAGCTAGGAGTAAATCCTGAGCATTGCTGGGTGTGACCCAAAAAGCAAATAAATAAATAAATAAATAAATAACTTGTCCCTTAAAAAAAACAAACGAACTAAAAAGTGAAGGAGATCAGGGAAAAAACAGTCGAAAACTTCTGACCATGAAAATACCAATGGGAGCCCTATAAAAGCTAGGAACTCGGGAGTACCCCAAGCTCCATCTAGAGAACCAAATGTAGAGAGTAGTTTAATAATCTGATCATTTGATAATTTCATGGAGGATGCAGGAGCCTTCTAGTGGAGAAAAAGGAAGAGCAAAGGGAGAGAAACTGTTGAAAGCTCCGAGAGATGTTTTGTAGTTCCCTAATGAAAGCTGAATCGATTTCTCTGAAGCCTAGGGGAGTAAATCAATGCTTATTAGTAAACCAGAAGAAAGCAGGGCTGCATTCTGGGTGCCAGGGCCGTGGGATCAGCGGCTGGAGTCCAACGACATGGGAGGGAAAGAGGGAGTAGTGCTAGCAGTGCTCCTGGCCTCCAAAGCACGGGCCTGGGCAGGGCTAGCAGAACCCCCAACAGTTCCAGCTGTCATCAGACCCTCCATGACTGCAGGCAGTGTGTCACAGCCTGTGGCCCATCATGCACCCCCACCGTCCTACTGTCCTCCTGGTTCTCCCTGGTCTTATGCCACGGTCTCCCATTTACAGTTTCATCTGCGGTCTCCTTGGAAAACCCTGGAGGCATGCAGGAGGGCCCTATGGTGCCAGCTGAGAAATGCTACTTTATCCCTACATCGTTGCCCTTTAAAATCATTATGATTAGGGGACAGAGCAATAGTACAGCAGGTAGGGCACTTGCCTTGCATGTAGTTTACCTGGGTTCAATCCCTAGCACCCCATGTGGTTCCCTGAGCACTGCCAGGAATGAGCCTTGAGCACAGAGGCAGGACTAAGCTCTGAGCACCACTGGGTGTGCACCACAAAAATATAATAATAATCTTTTTTTTTTTTTTGGCTTTTTGGGTCACACTTAGTGATGCACAGGGGTTATTCCTGGCTCATGCACTCAGAATTACTCCTGGCAGTGCTCAGGGAACCATACGGGATGCTGGGAATCAAACCCTGGTTGGCCTTATGCAAGGCAGAAGCTCTACCCACGGTGCTATTGCTCCAGTCCCCTAATAGTAATAATCTTTTAAGGGGCCAGAGAGTATAGCAGGGGAGGGTGCTTGCTTGCCTATGGCTCATCTGGGTTCGATCCCCAATACCCAAAATGGTTTCCTGAGCCCGTAAGGAGTAATCCCTTAGTGCAGAGACAGGAATAAATCCTGAGCACAACTGGGTGTGACCCAAAGACTCAGAAATAAATAAAAATAACATTATTAGTATCATATGACAATTGTACAAATAAGCGACATTTCTGTCATCTCTTCTGCTCTACCCTGAGAACTAACACTCAGGCAACCTGATGGCCAACTGTTGCCACTGCAGAATTTTTTTTTTAATTTAACAAAAAGAAAAATCAAGCCAGGCAGTTAGAGGAAAGTAAGATCTGGCAATGAAGAGTGAGTTGGTAAACTTCTGAGTGGCTAGATGTTTTCCTCCACTGCAAACCAACACAGATGTAGGGGAAGCTCGCCTTTGGTGAATCCATTCTCCCACAACTCTCAAGAGCAAAGACTCCCCCAATGGGAGTTACCTGGGGTAAGCTGAAGGCGATGCTCCCTGGAACCACGGATGGGTGGGTCCTTAGGGTGAACGTGTACCTGTGGTTGGGCGAGGTCCTCACAATTACGTGCCTGAAAGACAGAGGCAGAGTCAGCACTGCATGCCAGGGGGAGGGACAGGGAGTTCATTTAAATGCAATAACTGGATGACACCCAGAGGAAGCCAGGGGTAAAATCAGAGTCCAAGAGAATGGATCACACATTTCATTCCCAATTCAATTTGTCCCAACATATCACAGACAAAAGAGGCATCATGAAGCAGAATTAGGACCAAGCAGGGGAGGGTGTGAAACACCGACTTCATGACTTTCATCCTAAGTAGACGAAAACACTGAGTGATTGAGGGGCCAGAGAGAAAGGACAGGATGAGGGTGCTTGCCTTGCACCCTGCCAACCCAGGTTCGACCCCTAAGCACCCCACAGGGTCTCCTGACCACTGCTGGGAGCAATTCCTGAGTGCAGACCCTGGAGTAACCTCTGAGTGTTATTGGGTGTGGCCCAAAAATCAAGAAGAAAAACAGTGATTGCAATTCTTTGGTATTAAATAAAAATCGGGATCAACTTCCTCTCCTGAAAATCACTTCACACCTAAACAGAATCAAGGGGGGGCGGTAAGCCCCAGAGAGCAGGCCAGGATTAAAACAAATAAACAAAAATGAAGGTTTTTGGGCGTTTTGTTTTTTGTTTTTTTTTGCTTTTTGGGTCACACCCAGTGATGCACAGGGGTTACTCCTGGCTTTGCACTCAGGAATTACTCCTGTCAGTGCTCGGGGGACCACATGGGATACTGGGAATCGAACCCAGGTCAGCCATGTGCAAGGCAAATGCCCTACTGCTGTACTATCACTCCACCCCAAAACTGAATTTTTAAGAATATGCATTCAATTTCTTTCAGATTCTCACAACCTGCTGAAACAGTAACAATCTGCAAATTTTAAAAGATGGTAAAAATATTAAATTTCACAAGATACATTAGCTTTTACATAGCTATTATTTACTATTTCAATGCATTAGAGGTTTATTTACACTGCTCAGAACTTAACCCATAAACAATTCAAACAGAGTCATCTTTTTAGGGGCGCATTCTCTGCAATGCTCAGGGTTTACTCCTGGTTCTGTGTTCAGAGGACCAATTGTGATGCTGGGGGTAGAACCAGGGTTGGCCACATGCAAGGCAAGCTTCTTACCCTGTACTATCGCTGACCCAAAATACAATCATCTAAGATCATCTCCTACACCAGGAAATCACCAATGACTATGTGAGAGACAGCTCTGTCATTCAGCACAATGTTTGTTTTTTTGCTTTTTAATTTTGGGGGTGGGGGGTCTCACCCAGCAAAGCTCAGGGGCTACTCCTGGCGATAGTTGGGGGACCATACGGGATGCCAGGGATCGAACCCGGGTTAGCTGTGTGTAAGGCAAATGCCCTACCCGCTGTACTATCACTCTGGCCTCCACAGCACTGTTTTTATTTGGTTTTGTTTTTTTTTTTCTTTTTGGGTCACACCTAGCAATGCTCAGGGGTCACTCCTGGCTCTGCACTCAGGAATTACTCCTGGTAGTACTCAGGGGACCATACGGGGTGCTGGGAATTGAACCTGGGTCGGCTGCGTGCAAGGCAAACATCCTACCCGCTGTGCTAGCACTCCAGCCCCAGCACTATGTTTTTAAACAATTTTTTAGAAGGTGATAATATTTTGATATTAATGACTATATACTAAGTAATCCCATCATGAATACACTAAAACCTAGCATACATAAAAGAATTTCATAAACTAATTCTCACTGATTTTTGGGGGGCGGTTAGGGAGAAAGAGTCCTCCCCAGCAGGCCTCAGAGGCCAGGGATCAGCGAGGTCTGTGCTATGGTTCCAAGCGAGGGCCTAAGGGTAAGGTTATGTGTCCTCACTCCCCTTGTCAGCGGCTCCCCTCTGTGGCCTCGGGAGCCCGGATGGCACTGGACTGGAAACAGATTCTTCAGACACTCTGGCCACAGTGATGGGAACTGACTCAAACAAATGAGGACCAAATTGCCATAATGAGTCTACATTTTTTAAAGTGAAAAAGCAGGTTTTATTTGCAAGTTTTGAGGAGTGTGTGTGTATGTGTGTGTGTGTATGTGAGAGAGAGAGAGAGAGAGAGAGAGAGAGAGAGAGAGAATATGTGTGCTCAAGAGAGAAAAACTTGGGCTTCTTAAAAAATTTATATATATACATATATATATATATATACACATATATAAGTATGTATTTCTAAAATACTACTCAGCATGTTAAAGAAAGTGAGATACTCACTGGCCGGACTGGAAATCCTTTTCATTCACAACCGCACAGTTGGTCAGTGACAGCTCATCTGTAGGGCACCGAGCAGCTTGCATGCTCTAGGAAAATCAATGCACAGGATTAGGCATCACTGCTGTTACCTGGAGAAACACTCTATACTTTCCTGGACTCTTGTCCATGTTGCTGGCCATCAACACCCATCATCTGCGACCCCCGGTCCCCATTCCTCTGGACACTGTCCCTGTCACTCCAAGGGAACATGTGTGGGCCTGGCAACCACAGAGTGTGGTGGCCTCACGGCCTCCTCTCCCGCCCAGCCATGTCTCCACATGTCAGCGGAGAAAGGCACTCACTGCCTCTCAAGGCACAGGAATCTGCCCTAATGCGCCTAAAGGAGAGTAAGTCAACCAGAGAAAGGGAAAGTGACCAAGACACAAAGATACAAAGACACAATGTGTGCCTCATGGAGAAAGGAAAAGTGACCAAGATACAAAAAGATACAAAGACATAATGTGTGCTTGTCCCTGATACCACCCATAAACCAAGAAAGTCTCTTTAGATCTCAAGTTTATTTGACTTTCTCATTTCCAACTGAAAAAAAACCTTGACTCAGAAACTTAGTGAAATTAAATTCAGTGAGACTGAGAAAACGTATCATGAAAGAATTGTTCTTTTTTTTATAAGAGATCTGACTATGGACTATATCTCATATCCACAAAGAACAGTCACCTTCCAAATACCTCAACAAAATTACAATAGATAGTCTGAAAAAGACAGCAATTAGGGCTGGAGAGATAGTACAGGGCCAGGGAACTGGCCACGCATGTGGCTGATCCCAGGTTCAATTCCCACCACCCCATACGGTCTCCAGAGCACCATCTGGTGGTACCCTTGAACAGAACTGAGTGTGCCCCCACAGCCCCCACCAAGAAAAATAATCTAATCAACTTTTAAAAGTCACTGCCAGATGTGGCCCACCCAGATGGCCCTGGAGAAGAGCGGAAGAAAAGAGAAGAAAGAAAGAAACTAATAAGCAGGCAGGCCTCTAAAAACCACTGGCAACAAGATACACTTCCAGAACTTTTCCAGGAGTGATTAAAATTACTTTATTCTAGTTAGTGCTTAGCTAAATTGTATCAGAGCTAATAAGTGTCGAACCCTAGTTTCCTAAGAGGAAAAATTTTTAAAAGTCGAGCAGGGGGTCCCAGGAGCAGCATCGGCAGAGAGCCCCGGGCACCAGCAGGGAGAAGCCGCTGGATAGTTCAAAACAAAGCAAAAACAAGATGTCACAGGGGGCTACAAAGAGACAGTACAGTGATCCATGAATATTCTTTTATTGTTAACTGCAGACAAAAGCGATCAGAACAGAGTAGCTGGGACAGCTCTGTAACACAGGCTGATCAAACCACAGACATTCCCTTTAGTTCCCTTTAATGTGCTTCTGGGGTATTAGAGGAAGCAAATCAAGCACTATATTTCTCTGCATTGCATCAAAAAAGAGAGCGCCTAGGGGCTGGAGCAATTGTACAGCAGGTAGGGAGTTTGCCTTGCACGCAGCCAACCCGGGTTCGATTCCCAGCATCCCATATGGTCCCCCAAGCACCGCCAGGAGTAATTCCTGAATGCATGAGCCAGGAGTAACCCCTGTGCATCACTGGGTGTGACCCAAAAAGAAAAATAAAATTGAGCCATCATTTGACCCAGCAATTCCACTTTTGGGCATCTATCCCCAGACAGAAAAACATTCATTCAAAAAGACATATTCACTGCCACCAAAAAACTCCTAGAAACAATAGACTTGTATAGTAAAGTTGCAGGCTATAAAATCAATACCCAAAAGTCCATGGCTTTCCTATACGCAAACAGTGAGAGAGAAGAAAGCGACATGAAAAAAACAATCTCGTTCACAATTGTGCCCCAGAAAATCAAGTACCTAGGAATCAGCTTAACTAAGGAAGTAAAGGACCTATACAAAGAAAACTACAAAACGCTACTTCAGGAAATAAAAGAGGACATGAGGAAATGGAAAGATATCCCCTGCTCATGGGTCGGGAGACTTAACATTGTCAAAATGGCAATACTACCGAAAGCATGTATAAATTCAATGCAATCCCTATAAGGATACCCATGAATGACATTCTTCAAAGAAATGGAGCAAACACTCCTGAAATTTATATGGAACAATAAGCCCCCACGAATAGCTAAAACAATTCTTGGGAAAAAGAAAATGGGAGGAATCAACCTCCCGAACTTCAAACTGTACTACAAAGCAGTAATAATTAAAACAGCAAGGTACTGGAACAAAGGCAGAACTGCAGACCAATGGAACAGGGTTGAATACATTGACATCTCCCCTCAATCATATGATCATCTAATCTTTGATAAAGGTGCAAGAAATGTGAAGTGGAGTAAGGAAAGCCTCTTTAACAAATTGTGCTGGCATCACTGGACGGCTACATGCAAAAAAATGGGCTCAGAACTCTGCCTAACACCATGTACAAAAGTAAGATGAAAATGGAGTAAAGACCTCAACATCAGACCAGAAACCATAAGGTTTGAAGACAAGGTTGGCAAAACCCTCCATGACATTGAAGCTAATGGTATCTTCAAAGATGCCACGCCACTGGCCGAGCAAGTGAAAACAGAGATAGATAAATGGGACTATCTTAAACTAAGAAGCCTCTGCACCTTAAAAGAAACAGTGATCAAAATACAAAGACAGTCTACAGAATGGGAAAGGATATTTGCCAAATACACATCTGACAAGGGGTTGATATCAAGGATATACAAAATACTGGTTGAACTCCACAAGAAGAAAACATCCAACCCCATCCAAAAATGGGGCAATGAAATGAACAGAAACTTTCTCAAAGAAGAAATCCGAATGGCAAAAAAGCACATGAGAAAATGCTCTACATCATTAATCATCAGGGAGATGCAGATCAAAACCACAATGAGATACCATCTCACACCTCAGAGACTGGACCACATTCAAAAGAACAAAAGCAACCGATGCTGGCGCGGATGTGGCGAGAAAGGGACACTCCTTCACCGTTGGTGGGAATGCCGATTGGTTCAGCCCTTCTGGAAAACAGTATTCTCAAAAAATTAGAAATTGAGCTCCCATTTGACCCAGCAATACCACTCCTGAGAATATATCCCAGAGAGGCAAAAATGTATAGTTGAAGTGACATCTGCACTTGTTTGTTCATTGCAGCAGTCTTTACAATAGCCAGAAACTGGAAAAAACCTGAATGCCCAAGAACAGATGACTGGTTAAAGAAACTTTGGTACATCTACACAATGGAGTACTATGTAGCTGTTAGAAAAGATGAAGTCATAAAATTTACATACAAGTGGTACAACATGGAAAGTATCATGCTAAGCGAAATGAGTCAGAAAGAGAGGGATAGACATAGAAAGATTGCATTCATCTGGGGGATATAAAGTAACAAAATATGAGATTAATACCCAAGAATAGCTGAGATCATCACCAGGAGGATTACTCCATAGCTTATAGGCCAGCCGGGCATTCTAGGGGAAAGGGCAGCTCAGATAGAGAAGGGAACACCAAATAAAGTGTGTTTGGAGGATCCTCCCAGGAGGGGAGATGCATGTTGAAAGTAGACGATGGACTGAACATGTTTGCCACTCAATGCCTCTTTTGCAGACCACAACACCCAAAAGGAGAGAGAGAACAAAAGGGAATGCCCTGCCACAGAGGCAGGGTGGGATGGGGGGGGGGTGGGAGGGATATTATCCATGGTGGTGGAAAATGGGCACTGATGGAGGGATGGGTATTTGATCATTGTATAATCGAAACCCAAGCACAAAAAATTGTAAATCTACAACTGTACTTCATGGTGTTTCACTAATAAAAAAAAAGAAAGAAAAAAAAAGACATATTCATACCATGATTCACTGCAGCACTCAGTACTACAGCTAAGATCCGGAATCAACCCAGATGTCCACCATATCAGTAGGAAGAAACTGTATATTTATACATAATGGAATACTACACAGCTGTAAGAAATGATAAATCATGCAATTTGCTGAAACGTGGATGGAAACGGAAGACATCATGTTAAATGAAGTTAGCCAGATGAAGAAGGATAAACACAAAATGGCATCAATAATATGTGAGACTTAGAGTAGCCGATGAGGAGATGAAATGGTTTAAAGGAGGGGTGCTTTGATTACCCTTGGTCCCAAAACATAGGGAGGAGAAGGAATGATAATGAGTTGGGGGCGGGAAGGAGCGACAGATGAGCAGGAACAGGGAGCAAGGGTCAAAGTACTTTGGTGATGTTGAGGAATGAAAGAACTCAACATTAAAACCACAGACTCAAAAGATGGCAGCCGCACGAGAGCCTTGTGGACAGCAGGTTTGAGCCACGGGTGGGGGCGGCAGGGACCTCATGGGAAGGGGGGCGTAATGGGCCGTCCTTCACGCCCGACTGAGGTCGCCAGCTGCCCCCCACGAGCGGCTCTCCGGCACAGCCACAGCCCCGGAGGCACAAGGACTTAGCACAGAGAACCACCGCTTGGAGCAGAAAAGCAAATGGACTATGTGCTAAACCGCGCCAGCATGCCTGCCCGGAGGGGAAAGGGTGTTGACCCACTCGCCCGCTCCTCTCTGGAAAGAAAGATGGCGGCCGCACGGGAGCCTTGTGGACAGCAGGTTTGAGCCGGGGGTGGGAGCGGCAGGGACCTCATGGGAAGGGGGGCGTAATGGGCCGTCCCTCACGCCCAACCGAGGTCGCCAGCTGCCCCCCACGAGCGGCTCTCCGGCACGGCCACGACTCCAGAGCACAGAAACCAATTTCTTAACTATCTAACTTTTAATAGAAATTCTTCCAGGGTTAATAAGTAAAATAGCAGAAATTCAAAACCGCACGACATCATTTTATTCTTAAACCAAGTTGTAGAAAGCAAATCATTTCACAACGCTGTTTCAGCATGTCTGATTGGGGGGGGGGGTCGTAAACTCTAAACAATAATTGTGCATCTTCTATCGAAACAATGTATCTAGTCAAAGTAGATAGAGTATTAACTAGAACTGATCTGCCTCACAGGAATTGGGAGGGGTGGGAGGTGG